CCCTGCGCCCAGCCCTGCCCCGGCCCCCCGTGCCTGAGCCTGTCACAGGAGAGGGGTCCGCACCAGGCCCGGGGATGTGGGACCGGTGGCCCCATGGGCTGCACAAGGGCCGTCAGCGCTGGGGCTGGGGGCTCGGGGACGGGGGGCTGAGCCGAGTCCTGCCCATTGCCCTGCCCGCGTCACGGTCACCTGGGGATGGGCTGTCCCCACAGGGGTCGCCGGCATGGACCCCCGCAATGGAGCCCCAGGATGGAGCCCAGAAAGGAGCCCCGGACACGCAGCCCAGGCGCACACAGGGCTCTGTGCCGGGCAGGGGCCGCTCCCAGCCACGCTCCGAAGCAGGGGCTGCTGTCCCCACCGCGCAGGGGGCAGGGGGCAGGGGACGATGGGCACCACCGTGACCGGAGGGGGATGCCGAGGGCTCCGGTGCAGCCGCTGAAGACGCGGTGGTGGGTTGACCTTGGCTGGGCTCTGGTGCCCACCCAGCCACTCTGTCACTGCCCTCCTCAGCTGGGCAAGGGGGAGAAAACACGACAAAAGGCTCGTGGGTGGAGATCAGGGCAGGGAGGTCACTCAGCAAGTACCCTCACGGGCAAAACAGGCTCGACTCGGGGGAATTAAATTATTTTATTGCCAATTAACAAGGACGTCGGATAATGAGAAAGAAGAACAAATCTATAAACCCCTTCCCCCCAGCCCTCCCTTCTTCCCAGGCTCAACTTCCCTCCCGAATTCTCCACCTCCTCCGCCTGAGCGGCGCAGGGGGACGGGGAATGGGGCTTGCGGCCAGTTCATCGCACGTTGTCTCTGCCGCTCCGTCCTCCTGACGCTCTTGCCCTGCTCCAGCGTGGGGTCCCTCCCACGGGAGACAGTCCTCCACCAACTGCTCCAGCGTGGGTCCTTCCCAGGGGGTGCAGTCCTTCAGGAACAGGCTGCTCCAGCGTGGGTCCCCCACAGGGCCACAAGTCCTGCCAGCAAAGCTGCTCCAGCGCGGGCTTCCCATGGGCTCTGTAAGGGACGAGGCCCACGTGGCTGTGCTGTAAGCACAGGCAATGCCCCAGGGAAAGCTCCAGAAGCCAGCCGCGGGGAGGGGCCCGGTGTCACTCTCCTTGACTGACTAATGTCTCAACCACTCCTGGAGCTGGGGTAAGAGAAGACTCTCGAAACCTTGGGCTGCAGCCAATAAATAGGGGCGCACGTGAGCCTCCTTGGGGCACTCTCCACACCGACACCCCCCGTTGGCACGTCCAACGCTGGATCCGGGATTGGTGATTTCTTTCTCTCTCTCTCCCTCTCTCCTGCTTCCCAGCTCTCTCCTTCTCTTTCTCTCTCCTCCTTCTCCTTCTTGCGCTCTGCTCTTGACATTCCTGAATAATACGAGGCCTACCTCCACTCCTCACAAAGCCGCTTAGCTTGTGTTATATATTAACACATAGAGGGTTGGTGCTTATAGAAGTGCTCGTGCCATGAAAGCGGGAGCTTGTTTTTGGACCTTGAGTGTTATTTCACCTTACTCCACACCGAGGGGATTTGCGGACCTTAGGCGCTCTCCCCTTCCCGCAGGTGGGACGTGACACCACCCACGGCTCCCTTGGGGAGGGCACTAGTGCCCGGAAGGCATGGAGATGGGCTGGGGATGTGGAGATGGGTTGGGTGACGTGGAGATGGGCTGGGCCATGGCGATGGGTTGGGGACGTGGAGGCGGGTTGGGGACGTGGAGATGCGGGTCCCAGCCAGCACAGGAGCAGTCAGGCTGGAGCAGTCAGATGGACCACCATCTCATGTGGTCTACCTGGACTTCAGTAAGGCCTTTGACACCGTCTCCCACAGCATTCTCCTGGAGAAGCTGGCGGCTCACG